ATCAGATCATTACGTAGTTCAAGAAAATAAATGCGGAAAATAAAGAAACAATTTTTTGGAAATTTTCGATTTTCATTAATAAAAACTCCTAAACCTTTCTATTACAAAAGACTTCAAACTACTCATTTTCTTGGAATTTTAAAACTACGAAGAGACTCAAGATAAACCAAAATACAGACTCGATAAATGAAAAATCATGAATACATCAATGCTTCGACTCCTGGGGCCCGTGAGACATCATTCGGTCTTGCCACGGGCCTACGTGCGAGATCCCCTTGAAGCCACTCCAAATCACTCATTATCTGGCGGACAAATGTTATTACTGCAGCGAAGAAAGTGGTTTGAGTCATGTCCTCACATACTTGGCATTTCATGACGATGTAGTCGGCAATGGCTCTAACCCTCTCTCGGACAATACCCTTTTCCTAAAGCAGGCGCCCGATTTGCTGATTCCGGGCTTCTAGCACCTGAGTGTCATGTTGGCTTTGATTTTGCAATTGTTGCATATCTTCCTCTATCTGGGCCATCAAAGCATAACAATGTTCCCTATCGACTTTAAAGTTTCTAGTCGGTTTGCCCGCCTCATTTTCAAGGGTGGTCAGCTTTCTCTTCAGATTGGTGATTGTCCCTTAATATTTTCTTTTCATTTGTTGCACAAACTGTGTCTGCCCTTCTGCATTGTTTGCCAATTGTGCCCGAACTTTTGCTAGACTGGCCTCAAATTTTTCTAGGTCATCTTGACATTCAAGTACTTTCTTTCTCAGACTGCTTATAAGCCTTTCATCTGCTCAGCTTCTTTCCCGGTTTCTAGCAGCTATTCTCATTTTCTGGATTTGAGCTTTGAGGGTTTCGTTTTCCTGAGTTATCTTCTTCTTTTCCCCTTCATCTGCGGCAGCTTGGATGCTATTGCCAAATTTGAGGTCCCTGATTTGTCCCTCTAATTTACCTATTTTGGCCCTATAGCTTTCTTCTTTTGCCAACCAGCCCAACTGCTCCTGCGAGTCGTTAGTGAATTATTAGACATGGGGTCTCTTAGCGGGTCTCTCAGGGATCTAAAACCTTTTACCGAACCAAACCATGTAACTGGGGTCCACCTCACCTCTAGCTAGATCCCGTACCATAGTCTTAGGTTCGAGAAATCTGCACTCATTCCAAACTTGGCGAACTCATCCTTTTGGATATACGGCCTTTGGGCCCAATTCGACGACATGCCCACTCAAATCTTTGTCATGGGGGAAGGTTTGAAATCTGACCAGTTGGCGTAAAACCCTATAAGGAGCATATGGCTGGATGCTCCGGATGCCCATCAGGAGAAGACAACACACTTCGGCTGACATGTATATTGCTTCGGTGACAGGGATCCATCCGAACGCCCACTCAATCTTATCAGAAGTTAAAGAACTTAAGTGTGCAAACCAAGCTTCGGTACCCTCGGGAAATTCAACACCCACCACTCGGCTTTCAAATTCTTTGATGCAATTCAAATCAGTCATACCGTAGTTCATATACCCGACACAGTGGCAGAGATGTTCCTATATCCACAATTGTAGTAGTAAGTTGCAGCCTTGGAAAAAAATTCCCCCTTCTCGACAAATGGTCAAAGCTTGGTAAATCTCATATAAGATTAGGGGAACCAAGGTGCCATTAGCTTTCTTGATTGCGACATCAACCATTCCCACGAGGCCCAATTCTATGTTGTCGTCTTCTCGTGGACAGATTACAACACCCAAGAATGCTACTATAAAAACTAAACCCCACCTTGCTTCCCATTTATCTTTATTTCCAGCATGGGTCAGACCAGTATTTAGTGCTTCAAAACCTTGGGGGTTACCATAGCGTTGATACAAGAACTGGAAAGTGCAATACCCTTCAGACAAATTCCCATCCTAAATATCCCGGCTAATACTCAACATGTCCAAAAATTTTGGGGAGATATCGGTCTTGGTGACACAGGGTACCGACTTCTAAGGTTTCCACTGGAGTGTGAGCTCAAAGTCAGAAAAGCGGAACACATTGCGAGTTGGATCCCAAAAAGGTATCAAGGCTTCAATCACGTCCAATTTTGGCTTGATGTTCAAAAGTCCGATAAGACCACCCAAAACCTTTACCACGGTTCCTCTACTGTCTTTCCCTAAATCGTTCCACCACATGTGGAGCTGTAAGGGGATCTCTTTAAGAGCTGCGAAGGATTCATTTTCATCTGTGCTCATCCTGCACATTTATTAGGGTGATTAAAAGAAAAATTATGACTCATTTTGACTCAAGAAAAAGTTATCACTATTTTTTTCAAAATATTTCATAGAAAATCTGGCTTTGCAAATACGGCCTTTCAGCACTTCGGGGAAGAAGATTTAAGGTTGCATTTGCTAACCGGCCAAAACCTTCAAAAAGCGACCAAAGGTGGTTGTTCTTGCAAAAACGGCATTCCGACGCCATTTTGGGGACATTCGGCTATTTTAGACAAGAATGGCATCACCCTGCTTATTTATAATAAAAATAAATTTTTTGTTCTTTTGCGGCTATTTTTGCAAAAAGGGAAGTTGGACCCGATGGGGGTTGCCTACGTATCCCACATCCGGTGAGAATCAAACTGGCGTAGTTCGGGCAGATTTGACAAAATAAAACCAACTAAAACAGAATTTTCTTTTTTTTTCCAAAATTTCGGCACAGTTTTAGTATATTTTTTTGGTTTTTCAGAAATAGGCAATTATCTCTCTTAGCCCTCACATTGACTTTTCTTTTCCAAAATTTTCTCTTATTATCCAAGTCGGTCAACATGCAAATCCGAAGCAAATAAATACACAGGTAGCAAGTAGGATGCATCAGGATGGTCTTTTCATTTCGGGTACACTTGTCCTAGATAGATCCAACCCCTGTATGGCGTCTCCAAAGTCACATGCACGTGATGCAAACAAGCGTTCCTACTAGGGATCCGGCATGAGGTTTTGTTATACTAGGTTTAAAAACCTGGGTTTATTGTTCTAGACCTGGCTTACCCGAGCGGACAGCTCGAGGTGGGGGGGGCAGCGTACGGGGAATACAGAAGCTTCACCGGTTTTGCAACTTGTCCGAACCTCATTCTAAAATTGGATAAGACTCTAGATAGAAGAGAAGTCACACGAAGTGCACACTCCCCAAATGATTTAGAAGACTTAGAGAGAGAAGAAGGGTTTCGTAGCAATTTATATACAATTCAAAAAATATCAAAGCAGTAAAAGCGACATTTAGCATATTAGGCTCAAACATATATAAAAATCAGATAATAAATAAAGCCAACTACAACAGCTATTCTAAGCTCGAATTCTTGAACCCTGAACCAGAAGTTCTGGGTTCTTTTCCCCAGCAGAGTTGCCAGAGCTGTCACACCTCCTTTTTACACACCCGAAAGTAGTATAAGGGAGTTTTTCCAATTTAAGTGACATTATTCGAAATGGGATTATTTATTCATTTTTGTTCAGAGTCGCCACTTGGGATGGTTTGTTTTCTGGTGTCCCAAGTCACCGGTTTATTTTAAAATCCCAAATCGAGGAAAATTCGACTTTCCTTTTGAAGTCTGTGAACCAGAAATTCTAAATAAGGAATTTTGTTAACCCGAGCGAGGTGTTAGGCACCCCCGGATTCCATGGTTCTAGCACGGTCGCTTAAACTATCATAATTGGCCTATTATCTGATTTTAATACATGTTTTAGCCTATGGTACATTTTTAACTTATTAGCCGCTTTTAATTAATTTTTAAGAAGATTCAACGTTATCTAAAACACGTCTTTGAACCACGCCACATGAAATGCACCCGCGATCCGCGACACGTTTTATTTAACGTTGTTGAGATTTGGATTTGGGTCACATGAAATGCATACCCGAGTTTAGGAAAGTAATTTTTTAAAATAGCGCGCCTAAAGCAACTACGCACTTTCAACTTTGCGAGGGCCATGGAAAATTCAACTAAATGGCACGCCTCGATTTCTAAGGATTAAAATTAATTAAGCGAGGGCCATGCATTTTGAGATTTTATTTAGCATGGCACACCTCGATTCTAATTTTAAAGGAAAAAAACTCAAACTAAACTTTGATGGCCATAGACTAATCTTATCCAATATGGCCCACCTCGAATCTATCTAATTAATTAACACTGAAGGAGTTTGAGTTCTATTTTAAACTAATGTCAAAGCTAATCAAAAGGAAAACGTCCAAAAGAGAGACATGGCCGATTATTTAAAAGAAAAGAAACTTCTTGGGCTATCAACAAAATTTGGAAGGAAAATTAAAAGGCAGGCCCAAAAATACAAGAGTATATAATTCCATTTGCCAATGTTTTCAGACTTGGGCCCAAGATAATCCCAATTCTTAATAGAGAATAGACGTCAGGGACTCAGAATATACAAACGAGTCTGAGATGGACATTCCTTTGCTGGGCCAACTTTAAGCCCAACTTTCAGAACCCAAACAATGGTACAAAATCAATCAAAATGCAAATCTAATCAAGACTATACGAAACATGCCATTGAATTAACCTTTTTTACTTCTGGATCCTTTGATTATTAAAACGTAAATCAACTAAAGCTGAATTTCTGAAATTAACATTCATGCACTTTTGGCCAAATCTGCCTTAGACCCACATGGCCGCATCACTAGAAAATAGACATTGGGCCCAAAATGAGCCCAACCAGATGTAAGGTCAATTGCTGGAGACCTGGGACTCAAGATCAAGTCTCCTCATAGGCTAATAACGTGTGTTTAAACCTTTCTTTCCTAGCAACAAACCAAACTTCAAACTACAAGGTTTAAAACCTCATTTCACAAGACATCGAACAACTGGATTGATTTATGTCAAACCTTAAGCAAGACTAATAGGCAATTAAAACTACTCTCAACATGGGTTTATAATCATGCATCACAAAATAGGCTATTCACAACAAAATGACGCCTCACAGTACCCTTCAATTAGCACATTACATATTACTATTTTTTGCAAGCTCTATATGCAATCACACACACTGACCTTCAGCAAAATAAAAGCAGGTTGTATAACTGGAATAAACCATCTACTATGTCGTCTTTAACAGTTCCAAATCAATTCTAAGAATACAAACTTCGCTATCTAACTAGAAATTAATTAGAAACATGGGGAATTAGGCCATTAAAACACCATATAAATGAGGAAATGCAACTGAATTCAGAAACAAAGTTGAGGACATGCTTCAAACTCTATATTTCCATTTCACTCTTCAATTCAAACCTTACATTAAATAAGGTTCAAGAGCATGTACCTGGAAGTGATAAAGGAAACAAAGAAGTGAAAAATCAGCAAAGAGCAGCAGCAGTAACCTAGTCAGAAACCAGCAATGAAACAGAATTCTAACAGCAGCTTAAAACCAGGCTTCAGAACTCAAAACTCAGGCCATTTTAACCAAGTGCAAGGTTTGAAACTTTAAGAAATTCCCAGCTAAACAGTGAGATCAAAGAACACTAAAAGCCAAGCAAAATTTAATCAGTTTTTCTAAAGAAACGCAGTAAAATCAGTGTTGTTTTTAGAGTTTTCTCTAGATTCCAACCATTTCAATTTTTCAGTACTTTTGGTCTCCCAAAATCTGCCTTGCTAGTGAAGAAAGGATGCCTTTATAGGCAAGGTTTTAGGGCTGCAAAAATGAACTAAGTTTTGCACCTCTACCCTTTTGATATTTTCATTTTTGCTCGCATACCCTTAATTTAAAACTCAGATTTTCAGAATAGTCCTAAAGGCACCTTCTAGGCAGCTTTCTATTCAGTTAAAAGAGATTCCCCTACCCTGAATTTCCTAACTTACCCCTTATGAGCCTTGTTTTTACTTCAGAGACCAGACCAATATGGGTCAAGTTAACCCAAATCACATTGCTATTGATCTGTATAACCCAAGTCAACTCCCTTTTTGGGCTTTCTGATTTCATAATTCAAATCGAGCCCTAGTCAATAATCACATTTTAACTGGCTAACCAGAATTTCCCACAAGAAAGACCAGAAAACTTTTAAAATGAAACCAAAAACAAAAGAAAAGGGGAAATGAACTAATTAACAAAACACATAAGTTAAATTCGCCATTAGGCTAATTAAGCAAACAGAACAAACGAAAGAAAATGAACACATAACGAAGGAAGGAAGAGAGGAGACAGAAAAAGAGATGAAAGTGAACTTAATCAAAGAAGAAGAAGAAAAATGCAAGAAAAAGGAAAAAGGATGAAAAATACCTAAATTAGACGGGCTTAATCTTGGATTCACCCCTCGAGCTTTCGATTTTGACCGAAATGGGCTTTAATCATGTGTTCTCAAACGAAAACATATGAATAAAGCCAATTTCGACTTCAAATCTTCAATAAGCTCACTAATTTAGGTTTTGGGAATTTAGGGTTCGAATCTTTGATTTAAGATTCGAGGAGCTCCAGGGGGATTCGAGGTAAAATAATTGGAGAATGGGAGAGGGGAGGCTGTGAGAGTTCCATGGTGTTGATTTGGGGTAGTTTGGGGTGGCGCCGCCGGCCCAAGTCGGTGGAAAATGGGGGAGCTTCTAGGGTTTTCTGGGGTGTTCTTTGAAAGAGAGTGAAATGAGAGAGATGATTAGAGGGGGCGGATTCGGACAGTTATATACTGTCACAGACCCCAGTTCCCGTCCGTTCGATTAAGTGAAATCAACGGCTCAGATGATGAGAGGCCAAAACGGCGTCGTTTAGTTCTTGAGCGGGTTTGGAGCGGACTGGGAACGGGTTTGGGCTAGTTTAACGGGTAATTGAAGGGGAAATGGGGGGATTCAATTGGGCTTGGGGATTTCTAATTGATTTGGCCCAAAAATCTGATTTCTTTTACTTCTCTTTTTTTTTCTTTTTGTTTATTTCAAAATTCTTTTCTTTTCTCAAAATTAAAAATTAAAACCTAAATTAAATCTTAAAACTAAATTAGCCTATCAAAATACTAATTAATTTTAAATAATAATTAACACAAACAATTAAAAACCAAATTTAAAGAAAACTACCAAAATTCGAAATTAAACAATAAAAATGCAAAATAGTTATTTTTTGGTGATTTTTCCATTTTTATAAAGCATACTAATTTACTAATTAATCTAAAAATGTAAAATTAAATTCTAAATGCAAATGCAATAATTTTTTTGTATTTTTATAAATTAAAAAAAAATTAAACATGCACACAAAATGCAAACAATCAGGAAAATTCTACAATAATTCCTAAAATAACAAATAATTAAAAGAAAAATCTAAATTTCGGAATTCTATAGAAGTAATTCAGGTGAGGCAAAAATCACGTGCCCATACTTGTACTTAGCAAAAAAAANATTTTTTTTATTAAAACCAAAACCAAACCAAATTTGATCGGTTTTTAAAATTCAAAACCAAAACTAAACTAAATATAAAAAGTATCGATATTTTTGGTCGGTCTGGTTCGATTTTTGGTTTGGTTCAATTTTTTGGATTTTTATGAATACCCTAACAATTATACACATATAATACATAAATTTTGCATATAATATATCTCCGTCGGCTATTTTTAGTTTAAGCGATTGGGTGGACGGCTATTGAAAAAATGACATTGTATAGACGCTGTAAAAATAATAGCAGAAAAAATATATAAAAGTTGTATATATATACATTCTGTATGTTATATACAAAAATTATACAAATTTTATACACTTTTTTGGCTACCAGATGTAAATAGTTTCTGGCGCGGGTTAAAAGTGATAATACCTAAAAAATTGCACGGGGCGCCCTATTTGGTCGCCCCCATTTAACCTATGCCAATTGTTTTAAAAGGTTTTAACTTGTACCCAATTTTTAAACAACTTCAGCCCCCTTTCTCCTCCTCCTTCTCCTCCTTCGTTTTCTTCTTCTTCTTCTTCTTTCTTTTGTTGTTGTTGGTGCTGCTATGAAACTTCAGTTCATGGGATGATTGTCATAAATATGTTTATCAGATTATTTAAAAACAAAATTTAAATAATTACGTAAGTTAGTAGACAATAATTTATGAATATTTCCACGTACGTAAGTTAGTAGACAATGATAATTCTGTTCTTTTCACGTTTATTGTTTTCAAAATTTATGATTTAGATACTGTTGGCAATCTGATTATTTATCTAATATGTTAGAAAGCTTTTTCAAAAACTTCAGCTTATATAGTGCTGAAGTTTTTACAAATGAACTAAATAACTTCAGCATCTTCTGTTGAATTTCTTTTGAAAAAGCTTTATGACAAAACTAATGAATCCAGGACAAAAAAACTTCAGCTTTTAGTGCTGAACTTTTTACAAATGAACTAAATAACTTCAGCATCTTCTGCTGAAATTTTTGAAAAAGCTTATCTAGGACAAAAAAAAACTTCATTTTATTTAGTGCTGAAGTTTTTATAAATGAACTAAATAACTTCAGTATCTTCTGCTGAAGTTTTTGAAAAAGCTTAATGACAAAACTAATGAATCCAGGACAAAAAAAATTTAACTTATTTAGTGCAATTACAAACAAAAACTTCAGCAAATAGAGAACAAAACTTCAGCTACTATGCTTAAGTTTAGCAATTACAAACAAAAACTTCAGCCAACAGAGAATAAAACTTCAGCTACTATGCTTAAGTTCAGTAATTACAAACAAAAACTTCAGCAGACTTGGTTTAGCACACTTGCTATTTCAGGCCCGTCTACTAGAATGCTGAAGTTTTGCGTGATTGCCTTTGCTACTTCAGCCCGTATGTTGAAGTTATGCGAAAAAGTGGGTACACTTGCATTTTTTCTTGCAAAGCGGATACAAATTAAAACGTGACCCAAAAAGCGGATATAGATGCAAATCCCTTAATAATACCCCATGGCTATTTGGATTAATTCTTCGTGAAATTATAGCAAAACCTTACAGTTCCTTTAATGGGCTAATGGCCCAATGGGCTTTACAAATATTTCAGTCATCAACCATATGTCGTGTCGTTAGGTACTTCCAATTCTTTTTAAACTTAAGCTGAATAATCTCTCTCTATATATATATAAGCAATGAAGTTATCATATATATTGGCATTGGTTAGGCTAAGTGGCAAGCTATTAAAAAGTCACTTGACGATATTAAAATGAGTTTGTACGGATATTGTCAAATAAGAAAAAATCGGTTAAGAACTATATATACAATCCCATTTACTAAATTAAATCTTTTATTATTCAATTCTACTTTGAATCTTATATGGCAATTTAAATTCAATTTTGTTATAGATCTTTAATTATTTCACTTCCGTTTAGGCTCCTTCATTACAGTGAGTATTATCAATTAAAAGGGGGGTTGAGATAGATTTTGACTCTTCTATGACACAAGTTTGATTTACCTTGAGTACAATATCTTGCAATGTATCTTTTTAGAATTGGTATTTGATTAATCATCTATATCTATTAGAATTTATCCAATACGTTAAATACAAATAATTTTATTTTTTAGATTAAATAATAACATTACGTTGATTGTGAGGAGGAATTACGATTAAAAAATTTATTTTTATCGGCAACAAACCTAGCGGTAATGTGATTTTATTTATTCAAATGAATTTAACTTAAATCGATCATATATATATAAATAAAGATAAATAGAAAACTTGATTTTAGCATATACTATTATTACTTCTACTACTACTACTAATAATAATAATAATAATAATAACAATTATAACATTACGTTAAATACAAATAATTTTATTTTTTAGATTAAATAATAGCATTACGTTGATTGTGAGGAGGAATCACGAATAAAAAAATTATTTTTATCGGCAACAAATCAAGCGGCAATGTGATTTTATTTATTCAAATGAATTAAACTTAAATCGATCCATAGATATGAATAAAAATAAATAGAAACTTGATTTTAGCATATACTGTAATTACTCCCACCACTACTACTAATAATAATAATAACAATAATCACATATCTTCTTTCTATTTATTTGTTATACCAAATTAATTCAAATCATATCCAAGCTTTTAAATTAAAAAATAAAATAAAATAAATTTTATCCAAGCTTTTGAATAAGCAAAGAAAACCTCAAGGACGAAAAAATACTTTGAAATTTTGGTGAAATATAAAGTATGAGCATATGCACTTCTATTTTTAATTATATTAAACACCAAATAAAATGATTATATAAAAGTTTTATAGTAGAAAATATAATATTAAAAAAAATAGAGAGTGTAAGGTTTATACTTTGAACTAAGTTTAAAATAAAATGGCTATATTAAATAAATAATACTAAAAATATTATTGACAAATTTAGACAATAACCTGAGCAGTAGAATAAAAGAATAAAAGCAAATAAAAATGTATTACAAGAAAAAAATTAAATTCATTTGTAATATATTATAATGTGAAGGGTATTTTTGTAAGCAATTAATTTTTAAAAAAATACAATTATTTAATTCACCAAACCAAACAGTGAACAAAAAATAATGTCAATATTACTAATACACTATATTCAATACTATTATTATACTTCCTATGAAACGAACCTAAAGGTAATAAATTGTGTGACTTAGGTTGGTAGAAGTTGATGTTGTTGTGAGAGGTACTATTTTTTATAATTTAAATTAAGATATTACAAAAAAAAATTAGTTATTACTCTATATAATATTAATCCATAGATGTGAGATTATAATATTTGAGTTTCTGCCAATAGTTATTCATTTATGTATAAAAAACTTATATAAAATTTTATGGGATTACAATACTATCCAGATGTGGGCGGATACTAGTTACATGTTGAGTTGCACTAATTCCACCCCAATGGCGATGGCGGGAACACTCCAAATCCTACTCCTCAATCCTCAAAATGGGCGGCGTCCTCATCTTCCGACGACCCAAACCCACTTCCCTTTTTCCAGAATTAGCAGCAACAGAAACATCAACAGGTCACAGCTTCTCATTAGAGCCACTTCACAACACTCAAATCAGGTGAACTTTCCCCCTTTCCTTTCCTTTACTATTATGTTGTTAAAATTGATTTGATGTTAAAAACTGTACAAAATCAAATGTGAAAACAGTTTATTAATTTCTCAGCTGATAGATTATATGGTATTTTCCAGGGAAGTGGTAGTGGAGACCAACTTCCACGGGCTACTGCGAAATCAAACTCAAATTGGGTAAAACCAATTTGGAGTTTTGTATCAAACAACTTTTTGCCTTTAGCTTTAATTGGTGGAGTAACATTAGGGCTTGTTAATCCCACACTTGGTTGTCTTGCTGATAGATATTATCTGTCCAAATTTAGCACTTTTGGGATATTTATAATCTCAGGGCTCACATTGCGTAGTGATGAAGTAGGTGCTGCTGTTGAAGCTTGGCCTGTTGGTATTTTTGGTCTCGTTTCCATTTTGTTCTTCACTCCTTTATTTTCCAAGATTATTATGCTGCTAAAGCTTCAACCTCAAGAATTCGTCACAGGGTTGGCTATATTTAGTTGTATGCCCACAACACTATCTAGTGGAGTGGCACTAACTCGGTTAGCAGGAGGAAACTCTGCTCTCGCTCTGGCGATGACTTTAATATCAAACCTTTTAGGAATTCTGATTATACCTTTTTCAATCTCTAAGCTCATAGCTACTGGGGTTGGTGTGTCTGTCCCGGCTGAGCGGTTGTTTAGAAGCCTTGTTTTCACTCTTTTAGTTCCTCTTCTCGTAGGGAAGGCTTTACGAGAATGTTTCAAAGGTGTGGCTGAGTTTTCTGATCGAAATCGTAAGCTTTTGGCAATGTTGAGTTCTCTCCTCCTAAGTTTAGCCCCGTTTATACAAGTGAGCAGATCGAGGTCACTGCTTTTATTGGTTAAGCCAGAAGTTTTTCTTCTGGCTGTTGTGTTAGGAGTGCTTCTGCATCTCATCCTCTTTGCTTTTAATGCTCTGGCAATAACATTACTTTCCACTACTTCAACATCTTTTTCAAAGAAGGAAAATATTAGTGCTCTTTTACTTGTTGCAAGCCAGAAAACTTTGCCTGTAATGGTAGCAGTAGTGGAACAGCTCGGAAATGCTCTTGGTGAATCTGGTTTGCTGGTTCTTCCCTGCGTAGCCGCACATTTGAACCAGATCATCTTGGACTCTTTGTTGGTGAACTTTTGGCTTCAAAAAGATCGTGCTTCGGGTAATCTGAAGACTGCTTAAGATCATCTCAAGTTCCCAGATGGTAGGTGCTGCACACAAGAAGGAATAATTCACATGTAAGTCATTGAAGTCTAGAACTTCTAATAGCGATACTTATTTTTCTGATGAAGTTCCAATGGTAGTAGCCTCATTAACCTGGAAAGATCATCTGTATAATCTCTCCATGATAGTGAAGCTGATGTAAAATAACCATCTTATTGAATTTAACAATACTTATGTTTCACACAAAAAGAATAAAAACACGACCCTCTAACTTGCCCCATTTTTCATTTAGATATCTGTACTAAGGGTTGTACCTATTGAACACCTAAACTCAAGCAAAATTGTGTCTATTAGGCACATCTTGCACAGTTTTTGGCCCAATCTTGGAGCGTCTCGCCAAACGCCTCCTTTGTGGAGTCTGGAGAGTTAACCAATTAAAACATTCCACCATTTTAACTTAACACATCAGATATAACTCTAGGAAAATGTCGACCTGCTACTTTTTGGAGGAAAAGTTCTGGTCCAGCAAAAGCTTGGAGAGATAAACTCCCAAATTCCATCCTTTCCTACTTAAATTCATCCAATCAAACTCAAGATCATTTTAGTCTCCGATAACCACCACATTCCTCGTCGTTGCAAAACTCAGTCTTAACTCCTACCTGTTCCTCATCGATTAACCCCACAGTCAACACTGCTCCATTTTCGTCAGTCAACAACAACTACAACAAATCCAATGTAATCCCACAAGTGGGGTCTGGGGAGGGTAATGTATAAATCTTACCCCTACCTTGTGTAGGTAGAGAGGTTGTTTCTGCTGGACCCTCGGCTCAAGAAAAGCATATTTCAATCTCTGTCGGTCGTGGTGATTAAAATTCCTCAAATGCAAAACCCTTTAACACTTAACAAGAAATTCTCTAACTACACCCTATAGTGGCCATGGAAACTGAAACATTTATGTGGGTTTTTGGTTTCTGATGGTGTGTTGCTGGGAGAAATATAAACAGAAAAATAAAGAAATAGCCAAGAACCAAGGAAAGAAGTGGGTGGAAATAGAAGTGAAAACATCTTGTAATTGTTGTTTTCATCTTAATTAGTTTAGTTATCTTGTTTCCGTGTAAATGTTTCAGCACCTTCGGATGAATCTATTTGTTGTTTTTTTTTCTTCGGAAAAATGTGTTTGTTCACTTTGTTTATCGATCTTGCTTCTATTTGATCACTCTCGCTTTCTTCTTATCAATTTCCCCTCTGAAAGTGTAAGACACTCACTTTGTCATGTCAACATTTTGTGTTTAATAGACATGTTTTGTGAAGTTCAAGTGTTCAATAGATACAATTCTTAGTTTAGGTATCTAAATGAAAAGTATGCAAGTTTACGGGGCCACATATGTGTTCAGCCTTAAACAACTTGCTTCAATATTTAGTACGAAGTGTCTTTGGCTGTCTTTAAGGTCCAAAAAAATCAAGCTAATATTTAAGCAGAAATTCATACATAGATAGATCTCCTTAAAAATACACTAATGTTAGCAAGAAATTTGACGTACCCGTCCCATTTCAAAAATAATGGCAATACGATTTTGAGGAGAAACATTAAGGCAAATTATTTAAAAAATAAATGAAGTACGTATAATCGTAGACACTTCAAAAATTCATTTTTATCTTACAATATGGCTGAATACTCAAAATGAAAATGAAAAAAATAGGGGGAAAAGAAAAAGAATGCATGGTAGGAAAGGAATGGTAATTATTCAAAGCAATCACTTGACGTATCACAACCGTTGAAAAATCATCATCTCTTCAAAATAGTACGATCACGAGCAATCTTCACCGTCCAATATCTAAAGTTACAACCAAAATACAAACAAGGAAACTCCAATAACCAACACAGCCATGGCATGCATGGCAATGCTCTCAGCACCGGAATCATCTACCGGCGAGTCATCATTGCCGGAGCTAGGGCTTAAGGCTGCCGGAGACTTCCTCTTTGACTTCAATGAAGCCGGAGCGGGCGCCATTGCTGGAGCAGGAGCAGCAAATATACTCAAAGGTTGAAGCACTTTATCAACCTGTCAAGAAGATAATTAGAAGATGAGAATTGAAATAGTTATTGTCGAAGATGTAATACTAAGTTACTAACATTGAAATCTACAAAAATTGATTTTAACATAAGTGAAGAATTTGGATATATGCAACTTGATAAGTTCTTTGAAATTTCAATGTGAACTTTACATTCTACAACCAAATTTGTGTAGATTCAATGGTGAAGAGTTAATTTAGTTCTTAAAATGTATAAGTCGGTTAACATTTTCGAGTTATTTTTTTCTATCAATATTTTACTCTTGGCGGTGTTTGATATGACAGAAATTATTTTTTCAGAACATCTTCAGGGAAAAATGACTTATTGCCTAAAAAATATTTTTCATGGTAAATATTTTCCAATGTTTGCTCGGGGAGTAAAAAATACTTGTAATAAAAAATGACTTCCGTCCAAAAGTGAAAAATGTCATTTTTTGTCCTTTTGGGGGAAAAGATTTTCTTCCTACCAAACACACCCTTGGTGTGTGTGTGTTTTCGTAATAACAATTCTAACCTGATAAACTGCAAGCTGACCATCAGTGTAAATTGTGTTAGCCACAGTAGCATCATCAACACCGGTGGATACATTCACTTGGTTGCCGGAAGTCGTCACATTTAACGGAAAATCTCCCGGACTAGCATCTCCGGCTTGTGTTCTTAACGGATTACTCACAGTTTGAAACTGAGTCATAGAAATAAAATTTGGAAGAACATGAAACTGCACTAGCTGAACTTGCTGTTGAGCACTTAAAGAATTTATAGTGCCAGATTTAAGGTTAGAAAATGCATTATCAGTTGGTGCGAAAACAGTCATTCCTTGATTAGAATTGTTGAGTTGTGTATTAATTTGATCACCAACTTGTGTGACTTTCATTAGTCGGATTAAAGTGGTGAATTGGCCAGCTTTTTCTAGTATTTTTGTTATATTGGTTGGTCCAGAGGGAGCTGGGGCTGTAGCAGTTTGAGCTTGGGTTAAGGTGAAAAATTGGAGGATAAGTAAAAGGAGCGAAAGAGATGAAAAAATATGGTGTTTCATATTTCAAGAATGGAATGGTTGGAATATGGAGTAGGGAAGTTTGAACTTTGAAAGGAGAATGATGTGGTTTGCTAATAGAGGAGAAGACTAGGGTTTTTATGGATAGGAAAGAATGTGTTAGGTGAGGGGGAGAAGGCATTATAGTTCTTATCAAATTACTACTACATCTAACTAGTTTAAAACTTCTAATACATTATCAAGTTACATAAAAGATTATTATATGTAATCGTCTTTAATAAATTGATCCATGACAAGAAAATATACATAAGCGGTTTTAGAATTAAATCTAATATTATGTTCGATTGACCTTTAAATTTTTTAAGTTGATTGCATTTTACTTTTGAAATTATAGGTTAACATTTAATATTTATTAATTTTTCGTATCGGAAACCCGCAACACAAAAGTTGCATCCACCATTGAAAATATATGAGTCAAGCAATCAGGTACATAAGTATACAAATCATGTGAATTTTGTTTATGCTATCGGTAAATATGAGTAAATTCTACTCTCTCTCTCTGTTTCAATTTGTTTGCATTCGGTTTTAAAAAAAAAAAAAAAAAACTTTCAAAATTTATTGTCTTAAATAAACCATAACATTTGTGTGACTGCTTTAAGGCTTAGAAATTTGTCGTAAATATTTGAGATGTTATAAAAGCTTCTCGTTAAGAAATAGAAATGCGCCACTTATTTTGAAACAAATTAATAAGGAAATAATGTCTAACAAAGCGGAATGGAGGAAGTAATACTATGGCATTCCTTAACATTGAAGTTTGGTGGGAAGTTACAATTGCAGTGGTTACAAAAAGGAAAAAATCTCCACATTCCTTTTAAGACTGACTGACCATTAAATCTTGAAAGAGAGAGTTGGAATGGGAAAGGTGTGGCTGAGGTGGAGGTTAAGGAACTATTGTAGCTGATAGTTTGCTTGGAAAGGCAGGAACATAGAGATCTAAAATGAGATGGATACTACTACTACTACTAAAGTTTTCTATGATTGCTTAGCTTACACTTGTGTGAACAAATAATTTTTGTAGGGCATGATTTCTTTGCTGCATACTTAAAAATGAAGCTTTCAATTATATCATTTCAGTTCTTCGGCCGAGTGTCTCTCGAAAATAGTTTTTCTATCTGCACAAGACAGGAATAATACTCTCTACCCTCCTAAACATCAATTGTAAGATTACACTGGATATATTATTGTTGTTCTTGATCATCTCGACCCAATCCATGATCTCTACAGTTGGTTACTATTCTTCAAATCTTACTCGTGTAGATACCCAAACTAAGCTAAATTCTAATCTTGTTTTTTCTTCTTATTAATTTTTTTATTTATGCTGGTATGAATGAAGAATTTTCTTCTTTTTTCTTTTTATTAATTTTTTTCCTTTGTGCTGATATGAATGAAGATAGTGTACCAATAAATGATATGAATGAAGGTACTCGATAACAAGGAAAATTCTAACTGTTCCTCAGCTTCTTTATGAGTATCATTAGAAAGTGGGAAACTGAGGAAGTGTTTGGTATGACAAAAAATATTTCTTGAGTCATTTTCTAGTGTTTAATTGTGTTAAAAAAAAAATGGAAAATACTTTCTAGAATAAGGAGAAAAATAACTTCTCTCACTTTTAGATGAAAGTAATATTTTTCTCAACCTTTAACTTCATATTACTTCTTTAACCAAAACTTACACATTATACTAGAGACTGACTACGTACTTTAGATTATACCAAATGAAGCTGATCGCTTTAAATTTTTTACTATTTGGAAACATATGAGCTTGACCATTTTCTATATGGTCCAGATTAGTTAATACTATTTGTTTTTAGAAAATTACAAACATTTCCTTATTTCTTTGCTGTTCTGGTTCATAATTCAGTACACCTCGCAGCACCAAACTTAGAAAAGGTTGCGAGAAAACTTGCTGATCATTCAGTCAAACCTGAGAAGTGAGAACTACTGCTTACCTAACTGTAGATTAATTTGGTTAAGCAAAATCTCTAAACTGATTTAGAGAAAACAGATTAAGTTCACTGGAATATGCTTAAGGGATGTTGTTTACTAACAGCCACATCGCACCAAAATCTTCAATTTGACGAGCATAAAACTTAAATTCTAGATACCCATCTTTTATCTAAAAGCATACACCTTAATATATGTATATAACATAATTAAATCTAATGTAACCAACAACATTTTGCATGAGTTCGAAATTGAAACATGACAATTATTTATAGACAAAATTTGGATTTATTAGAAATTATAAACACAACCAAAGTCTTCAGTTACTTCTTGCAACTTCAGATGCATTGTGATCAAATTAGTGAAGTTTAGGTTTCAGGTAAGCCTCCTCCTGAGTATTCCCACCATTATTTTCAGCAGTCTCCTGAGATATCCACTCGCTATAGGAGTCTTCTTTACAACGTTACCAAAACGATTATTAATCATCTTAGAAGCCTCTTGAATGCCACCGACACGAGTTTGAGCTGTGGAAGTAGCAAAACAAAGGAGGAGGACAAAGATGGCTGCTGCGATTTCTTTACCCATGGAGATTATAATTTGTATGTCAAATGATACAATATGCACATTATATAGGAATCTTGAGAGACAGGGGTCCATTATAGAATTGTTGATATATGCCTTTTGCAATACAAAATCCATTCACTTCTCGACAATATTTGCATCCTTGAGCAACAATAGTTCACCTAAGCAATTTTGAGTGGAAGTGTTAACTGTAGATTTGGTTGTATGTGCCTTCTCTAAAGCATAATCCAATCACTATTGGACAATCTTGAATCCTTGATTAGTATTAGTAAAAATAATGTCAAATCATCCTGTGTGATCATAACAAAAAAGTTATCACACAAATTCAGCTAAGTTTTTTTTGGAAATTTTCGGACATCACTAAACTGTTAAAGTAAAATAATAGGCAAAGTATTGTTCACTGACAAAATATGGATTATGTGAACTCATAGTCGCTCCACCAAACTAGTTATTTTATGTACATGTATTATTTGCTGGCCCCATACTTCAAAAATATTGAATGGTGCACTTGGTTAAATACCGAGTTATTTACCTAGAGGAATAGAAATCAATTCTCATTTAATACTTTTTTGCACTTTCTTTGGTGGTGCACCTATGTTCTAGTAATTCCAGACTCGCCTCAGAACACCGCAATGTCATGTTGAAATGGACAATTGAGATCCTCGTCAAACAGTTTAATCTCAGAAACACAAATGCATTTTAGTCCTTCAAATATTTGACCCTCAAAAGACCTGAAAAGGAACTACATCTTGCATAACTGGCAAGGGGATAAAAAAATATAACATAGTATTTGCCCGGAAAAAGCCTCTCTATCCCTCCGGGGTAGGGGTAAGGTCTGCGTACAATTTACCCTTTCCAAACCCCACTGAGTGGGATTTTACTGGGTTGTTGTTGTAGTAGTAGTATTTGCTCTCTGGAAAGCATCATCATACACTCTTTTATGTACATGTACAAGATTCCTCGAGGAAAAAGTGGTTACAAATTTATTTGGTTTACATAAGATACCAGTTTGTTTTCAATGAAATTCCTTATACTAGTTGCATCACCCTGCCGGACAATTCTTCCATCTTCCATGTAAACTGCACCATCTGCAAACTCTAGTTCTTCCAAACGATGGGTCACCCACAAAGCTGTAATTTCTTTAGATGTATCCATGGAGTTTCTCACTGCTTTTATTACTCCAATCTAGCAAAAGTTGAAAGAGAGAAAGAACTTCAATCTGTGAAATTGATCTATTCCAATCCAGATTAAAGTCTCTCCTCGCTAAAAATCAAATGTCAACTCATAGTGATTTTCAAAATTTCCTTCCTCTTCCGGCCAACACAAAAGCCCAAGGGAAAAAGGAATACATGAAGAACACAGAACAAAGAAAGGAATAAGCACATCATGCAGAGAAGGCAAGTCATCAACCTAAGAAGAATACTAGTATAGTCAAACTACTTTCCACCTTGCCAAAAAAAATTTCTTTGCCCGATGTTTCAAATGGTAGTTCGATGTATATATTGATGCCATTTAACATATTTGACACTAAGAGGATGCTACCTCTCTCTGTTCACCATGAGCCAAAGTTTCGAATTTAAGAACATCTGCTGTACTTGGGACTTCACTAAACAATAATTTTGAGTAGTTTCAGTTCAAGAAAATGCCATTTAAGACCTATTTGTTGGACAGTTTCAACAGTTGAATAGCAGGCTAATAGGTTGAGGCGACCAACTAGCATTGAATTGCAGTGTTTTTGTCATCTGATACCAGCATACATCCTTGATATACCTCCAATAGTTTCTTGTGGTGTGGGGAGGGGGTGGAATACTCTTCATTAAATTTCTCGATGCACGTTCCTCGGAAGATATATATTTCATCATTTATTCATTTCGGCAAGGGCATGCGGTTTTTAGATTGGTAGGTCATGCATGTGATTTACCCAACAAGTGAAAGATTAGATGCTACAAAGTGACATAAGAATTGAATCAGATTATACCTGATCAGTTTCATCCAAAAAAGTAGTCAGTTCATCAAGTAACAAAACTTTGCAAGCTTCAGCCAAAGCACCAGCAGTAGCAACCCTTTGTTTTTGACCACCGCTAAGAGTGTGAACTGGTTTCTGCACGGCGTAAACAAAAGCACAGACGTGAGAGCAGTTCAGTTTTATATTGACCTGTTAGGAACCCAGGAAATCATATCTGAAGAACATACTTTCAAATACTCAGACATCCCAACTGCATCCAAAGCTCTTGCCACCCTAGTCCTAATCTCAGCTGGTGTTAAGTTCAATTTACCAAGACCAAAAGCAACATCAGCTTCCACCGTAGGCATCACGACCTGTAAGCACAAGAAATAAAGAAGCCATACATTTAAGAGCGAAGAGCAGAATAACTTTCTTAATACATGGCCGTGGAATGTCCACTTCATATCAAAGCCAGTTTGTAGGTTTAGGTATAAAACCAAACCAATAAAACCATCCAGCCAAACTAAGAAAACATTTAAAAGGCAAACTTAGCTCCCTGCTTTGCCCTACCAAGCACATCATCTATTTCGCAGAGACCTCCTGAATTTATCATAGCAAAAGCATATGAGGCTATGTTATAGAGTCCTTGTACATTACCGCACAAAAGGAAAAGGGATCAATGTAAGAGAAACTCTATAGAGATGGCACTCTGTAGCATCATAAATCCAATTCAAAGAATAAAATGCAGACTTGGAATAATGACAGAGGAGTGCGCTATTGAATGACTCATGAGTGCAATGCCAAAATGATGTGGACTTCGCTACCACATATCCTAGAGGTTTTCCAAAGTTGTACAAAGTACAAACTGCAGCATCTACCCAAAGTAATGGTCATATAGAGTTACAGACTTAACCAGAATTCGTGTAGAAGCTAAAGAATTTTTTTCAGATTCTGCCTACTATAGATCTACAACAGAAGTTCTATTAAAAAGTATTAGTCCTTATGACGCAAAAAGCATGGAAAAACACTCGGAAATGATAATTTTTGCCAAATCTAAACTCGATTGAGATATAGTTCAAGCGAAGAAAGAAACTCAAAAGCTTAATTAGATTAATCGGATCACTATCAAGTGGAGTTGATCTCTCTAATTTGGAATTAAGCTTATACAAGATGAAGCATTCAATCTTCTGCTGTTCCATTATGATTTACATTCTTTTTTTTTCTATAAAGGTGGTACCCGAGCCAGCTTATGCACACCTCGGCAACACCAGGTACATGTTACCTTCATGTACCTCGCACCAGCATAGCAACTCTAGCCTATAAGGCTTACGCAAATGGGAAAAAATCACCAAACTCTTTGTCTCTGGTAGGATTTCAACCCTTGTCTCTCATGGTTTTCACCCAATTATTGACGTTAGGCAACACCTCGGTGCCCCTTATGATATACATTCTTTTGCAATCGTTCCATGAAATACCAAGCCTCAATTATTAAAACAAACCTATATTATTGCTTAAAATATCGGATATAGTGAGGATTCATATAGGTGATCCCAACTAGGTTTGAACTGAGGTGCAGTAGTAGTTATTGTTGCTGTGATAAGTATCTAAAGTCTCAAGTTTTGCACCATAAATCTGACCATTCTTTCATTATCAACAATTTAAAAGTCATTGACACAATATGGGATTGCAAATATTCTTGCTTAATCGTCCAATTTAATCCACAAAATCAGCACAAATCTGAATACGACAAAGGATTAGGAAGCATTGCCATCTAATGACAAATATAAATGATAAAAATGGAAACTTTTGAGCTCGGCAAACACACCTGATGATCAGGGTTCTGATACACAAAGCTCCTTGGCCTCTCCACAGACAAGAACCCATCATCTGGACTCAATAAACCTGCTAATATCTGGGATAATTTCACCCCAAAAAGAACAAAACCCAAAATCCCGTAACGCTAACCAGCCTTACTAGAAGATACAAAATTTTGCACAGTTTACATACACAATTTAGAGGGTTTACCTTTAAAAGGGTTGATTTTCCACAGCCATTGGGTCCAAGAAGCATCCAGAATTGCCCAGAGGGAATTTTCAGTGAGCAATCCTTTAGAATCGGAAGCACTTTCCCCTGTCTGGAGACAACTGAATAGCTAAGGTTTTGAGCGTCAATTGCAAAGCTGTCAGCTGTTGCGACATTTCTACAAACACAAAGTAAGCAAATTATGGTACATATGATAGAGCATGGGCATATTGAGAAACAGGAAAATGTGGAGAAATAGAGATTGCCTGAGGGAGTGGGAGTAAATGGGTGGCAATTGCAGAGCTGAAGCTCGGATACAAACCGACTGTATCATTTTTACCCCAAAAAAAGCTGAGATGCAACCTTTACAGCTTTGTTTGGATCATTGTTATCCAAAAATAATATTTATTTCGATGGTTTAATTAAAATTGGTTATATTATATTGTTCAATTTATTATTTCAGAATAATAAAAAGGGGTTTTTACCTAGCTATACTATAATAATAACCTATTTACCATCTTTATTTAGGTTCCTTATTAATTACTTTGTATGTCTATTTTTACAAGTTATATACAAAACCATAAAAAAGAAGAAAATTCAAGATCCCTTAAATTTAGCCTATCAGTTACATGACACCCACCTCATTTCCAATAACCCCTACATTTAAAATTTTGTTCCTTTTCCAAAAGATTTCAAAATTATTTTCTCTCTCTTGATAATCACCCAAAATCTTTCTTATTTTTTTATAGGCACTGTTATCCCTCCAAAATTGTCGATTCTTATCCTTTTCTAAAGCTTTTCAAACCCAATTTTGCTCTTTCTTACTAATCATTCAAAATCTTTGTTTCTTATTGATACAATACAGACGAAATTCGCAATATTGCTCTAGAATCAAGTTGTAGATAAGTTTTGAATCTTGTTTTCTTTCTTTCTAAATCTTTATTATATGTGACTTGTATATGATACATGAATATCCAAAATAATACTTGATACAATACTAATATAATTATAATATTAGATTTTTAGTGTAGAGTTGTGATTGAAACTTGAAAAAGAAAAAGATTATAATTGTATCAATTTTTCAAAAATATATTGTGATTGTATTATACTTGTATATGTATCGTAATTGTTGGAGGAATTGTATTACAAATGTATGATAATTGTATATTTATTGTATATTGTTACGAGCAGTTGTGAGTTCGTGACGAATTTCACTGTTTGTATAACAAATATATAATAATTATATATTAATGTATTAGTATTATATCAGATATTATTTTGGGTATTAATGTACCATATACAAGTTAGATACAATTGTGATACAAGTATGATACAATTATATTTTAGGCATTGATGTATCCGATACAATTCAAATCAATTATGATACAACTATCATACAGTTCCTGAATGTTTCTTCATTTTCAGTGTTGTCCAATCTCCCAGCAAAAGAACGATGCAGTCGATAATTTTTTAATAATATAAAGTTATCGGCAATGGTGGGAAGAGAGAAGATAGAGATTCTAGGCGTAGATTAAGGGATTTTGATGTAAAAAAAAAAGGAGAGGGAAGAGGAGAGGTAAAAAAAAGAAAAGAATATAATTAAATCTCTTAATTGAAGGCACTAATAATGGGGTGAGAGCCTTTTAATGAGCAATCTACATAATTTGTAAGAAAAACCTAGATACTTATTAAAAACTACAAAGCATAGAGAACATATGTAAATAAGTTTCTAATATAGTATAGCTAGGTAAAAATCCCTAATGAAAAGTCTCATTTTTTAAAACAACCAATTTGATATGGTGGATTATTTCCTATTTTTCTTTCCAATTATGCTCTAACTTATTACTCTACAGTTCTATTTTATCCTTTACCTTTTTTCATTTTAACTCAAAATCTCTAACCTATGACCCACTTTGCCTTTGTCTTTTTTTTTTTTTTTTTTGCCAACTCCAACCCCAAAGGTAAAAAAGAATAGGTTTTGCCTTCTTCTTCTTCTTTTTTTCTTTTTTCTTTTTCTCCTAATTTGATTTTAACTCCAATTTTAATTATTTTAATCTCCAATTAGTTGCATTATTGGTTGTTTTCAAGTGCGGTTGTTTTCAAGTGTACTAAGTATTATTATTTATCTTCTGAACTTCTTGTTTCTTTATCATCATTCTTTTTTTCTAAATGATAGTTAACCTTATTTTCAGGTTTTTGCTCTTGTTTTCACTTGGCAATTGAAATTAGAGTAATATTATTTATGATATAATTGCTAAGGATTTTATGGAATATGAATATTTCATTATAAATTATATGTCACGTTGTTCGAAAACTATTATGTTATGTACTTTAAGTTATGGATTATATGTCATGTTGGAAAATATAACTTATGATCTAAATTCTGAACAGAGTGTACTAAATATTTTATTTTTTATTTTTTATTATTATGATCTACTTATGAATGGAGTGTTACTTATTATTGTTTTTAATATTATTAACTTGTTCCATCAATTTTGTTAGAATTTGCATGAATTTAATTGCTTAATTTATTTACAAGATATAATTGGTGATAAATTAGTAGAAATAGATTTTCTTAAATTATTTTTATGCGTAATTCTTGATAAATTTAATATTTAAAACAATTGAGGGTATTTTAGTAAACTTATCAATTACAATACAATACGATACAGTCAAAGCAAATAAATTTAACAACAGCAAACAATACAATCTATCCAAACATCGTATTCATAAAACGATACGATACAATATAGTACAATATAATACAATACATTATAAAATAATGGGTAACAATTATCCAAACAGAATGTTACTAGAGTTTGTCTATGGATTATGAATAACTTTTTTTATTTATGTGTCTTTATTTTACTTGGCATGAAATTTAAAAACTAAAATAATTTTTTAAAATTTTATCGTCTTAAATTAAATATGTGCGTAACCCGTGGTAGTATCATAATTCACTAAATGTTTAACCGTCAAACAGTACAATTGAATTTATACGTGGTTTCTAGACAAGTGAATTAATTTAATCCTGAAATAATAGGAGAATTGAATGAATATGCAATACTTAGCCTTGAGGTAAAGATACAGTAGTTCCGGGAGCAGGGCTTTCGGGCACAACAATAATAAAATCAAAAACCAAGAAGATAAAATTTTATAAAGTTTTGAATAGATTATAGCGTAAGTTTGCTAAAAAATTTGTGTCATTTACAATAATAATAAAGCTCACTATTTATAGTTGTACCTAGGAAACAAGGTCCTAGGATCATGCCCTTCTTTAATATCAATTATGAGGGTCATTGAAAAACGTGTAATGGGGAGCATGAATGACAAATTCTTTGTAACAGGCAATATACTAAATGTTGTAGAATATTCTCTATTAAATACTATCGGGTGGTAGGTATTTATTTAATCTTTATGAGCATTATTTTTTCCGGTAACAGACAGAATAATTATCTTCGGTTTTAGCTATCCTCTGTCCTCGCTCCAAATGTCACTCCCTTATGCACTCACTTAACATAACATATTTTACCCTATACACTAAGCTAATTAAAAATATAAAAACGTAAATATATAAGAGCTTGTGTTATGTCTACCATACTATACGTACAAATAAATTTAACCTTGTATGAATATTTAATTTCCCGACAAAGGGAATTCATCTCTTGTGCCATCAAGCTTTAAGTGGGCATTTGGACATAAGAATTGTAAATTTCCAAAACATGGTGAAAATCTTTTTCAAATGAAAATGATGTTTGAAATTTAGAGTTGTGTTTTGATATGAATATAATTTTGGGTTGTTTTTGAAGTTTTATGAGTGTTTGAGTGAAAATTTTGAAAAACAGCTTTTTGGAGTTTTTAAAATTTTCGAAAATTTTCAAAAAGCGAAATACATAAGTAGCCCCTTCAAGTTGTCCCCAACGATCATTTGAACACTTAAACTAACCTAATGACCATTTAGACACTTTTATTTGATAGAAGTGTGTGCCTGTCACGACCCTAAACCTCATCCTGGTCGTGATGCGCCTCTCGTGAAGACACAACCCAGCCAATTAAACCCAATTCACTTTTTAAACAGTTAAATAACATAAGAGCAGTCTAAAACATGGTATAGCAATACTAAGTAGCGAATAATGCCAATAAAGTACGGAAGTACAACCCAACATAACCCTAACCGGGGTGTCACAAGTCACGAGTGTGAGCACGTGATTTTTGCCCTATGAGAACTACTCCCAAAAATTCAAAATAAAATGGTTTTATGTTATTTGTAATTTATTTGTATTTTGTCTGTGCATGTTTATTTCTACTTTAATTTAAAAAAATACAAAAATATGTGTTGCATGTGCATTTAGGAATTAATCTTGCATTTTTTAGAATTAATTAATCATTGGTTTATATAAAATGAAAAATACAAAAAAATACGTCTAGGATTCAATTTTATAATTTTTAGAGTTAAATCATAAATTATTCGGCAATAATTGGAAAACCATAAAAAATATGCATTTTTGTATTTTTATGTTTAACTGTGTGATTTTGTACTTAATCTAATGTTATTTAAGTTAATTTGGTTTTTAGAATTTAATTTAGGATTTTTTAGGTTTTGGAAAAATGGTCTAAAAGGGAAAGAAACAAAATGAAAAAAATGATGAGAAGAAACTCGGACCAGGCCAAGTTCCACAGGCCCAAATCGATGCCCTTTTACCCGGTCCAATTAGGCTGGCAATACGACCGTCCAAACGACGTTGTTTTTGTCACGCTCAATCTGGGTCGTTGATCTCACATGATCAACGGTCCAGGTCACCCCTCCCATAACCCATGTTGACCCATTCCCCATACCC